CATATCATGGTGCTAGCGTGTGTTATTTTCCTCACGTGTTCATGTGAAGAAGACAGCTGGCGTGGACGCGGTGGCAGCCTGAGGATGGATGTTGTTCCTTGTTGTTCTAGGGCGGTATATTTCCGATCAGCTTTCGGAGCACTGACGCAACCGCCGCGCTAAAACCGACGCGTGCCTCGACATGTGAACAACCCTCCGTCAGCCGCCTCACCCACCGAACCTATACACAGAACATCCACGTTTGCGCGAAATTGCGCCGAACCATCCGAAGTGGCATGTGCTATAAGTTGTGCACGCAAAGTCTATACCGTTATTTCACAATGCCAACGATTCATAGTCATCGACCTGCACCACACATCGTGACCTTACTGGATATTAGACATGGCACCACATAAGTATTTTCAAGCAAACATTCTCACTAACTCTCTAAGCAAACCGTTACATTCACAGCAGCCCAATACACGATTCACACTACACCACCACCATGTCATCAACCACCACCATGACCATATCATCAAGAAAGATACGTAACCAGCGTAACACGCTGTGCGTGTATACCCCCAAATCGTTACCATCTCCTCAACCCTTCGCGACCACCTTCGAGGATTCACCAAGAAAGCTGGGCAACACGCCGTGCGTGTCCACTCCCAAATCGCTACCATCTCCCCATCCCTTGGTAAGCGCCTTCGACGAACCACCAAGAAAGCTGGGCACGTCTGCTCCAAAACCACCACCGCCACCATCTCCCGGACCTCTCATAGGCGCCCTCGACGAGCTCACCGAATACTACGATGGCGAACTTGCGGCGTGGGAAGCGAAATGTAATGAACAGAAAGCCTGGCTGGACCACGCTTCCAAACTTATCGCCGAGTATGAAGAAGAAAGGATTGCTGGGATGGAGCATATCAACTTCCTGACCAAGTGTCTGAACGCGAACGAAAGAGCCCTGACGCAGTGTTTGTACGCTATGACGCTAATAGTAACGGTACTGCTGGTACGCTGAGACTACCAAGTAGAGGGAATGTCTGAAAGGAAATGATGTTCAAAGATACTACTGCTGTTACCGTTAGGCAAAACCTCATGCCGAGACGAGGCATAACAATGAAACAGCACGTTGACGGTTAGCAAGGAACTGCCTATACCACGCTACCGGAGATGATGCGCTTGCCCTCTCTGGCACCGCCAAAGGAGACAAGCATTGCGAAACCGCGCATACAGCAGAGGAACAGCACGGTCACCGGGTTGTGGATGAGCTGAGATCATGACAGGTTCGTGACCAGCTCTGAGACATGTATATCGCGATCTCTGGTAATGAAGCTATAAAGGGAAAGAGGTGATTGAAGAGAAGACGAGGAGACGAGGTCTCGGGTGAAAGAAATCCAGTCTGGTGGTACATGGGCAGGCCCATGTATGTAACACTCTGGAGACTAAATTAAAGGCTGGCCCCGAGGAAAGTAAGAGGTTGTCGTCGAAATCGAATAAAATATAACCTAACTTGCATTCATGCGAAGGAAATGAATATAACTCTGTTCATGATGATATAAATTATGGGTATCTTTGTTACTCGCACACGTACTTTTGCCTCCAACTCCCAAACAAATAGAAAAAGAACATTTCACCTCCTCATCTGATTCCGCCACCCCAGCCCCGCCGCCCCCCTCGCAGCCAACCACTCATTCCCCGTCTTCCCACCCCGTCTCCCAAGCAACGCCCCAACATCAACCTCCAACTCCCTCCAAAGCGCCTGCTCCACTTGCACCCTAAACTCCTTATCTTGACCATGACTCCCCAACAGCACAATCCTGCCCGGCGGCATCCCCAACCCAGCCACAGCATGAACAACAGCTTCCTGCAGCTTCGCCCAGAACTTTGCGCGGGGGGCTTCGTACACGGGGAGACTCCACCAGCCGAGATCGTTTCGCGCGACGTAGTTGATCATGCGGGAGTGGGGGGTTGGTGGTTTGGTTTTGGAGGGGGAGCAGCTGGTTTCGTGCATGCTTGCGCTGAAGGAGCTGGAGTCGAATGCTAAGACGAGGATGTGTTGGTGTTGGTGGGGGAGTGTCGCGGAAACGCACGAAGCGTGTTCTAATCCGGCATGTGTGGCGTATGCTTCCGAGTATATCGAAGGGGTATCCTCCGATAGAGCGAGGCCGGCCGCTAATAAAGCAGTTTCAAAGTCCTTCTCATGGGATCCGTAGAAGGGGAATGTGACAGCCGATGTGATATTTGTGATTGGGTGTCCGAGTTCATTTTCGAGGGTTGCGTGGACTTGTGATAGGAATTCTGTGAGGATTCTGCTGTCGTTTGGAGAGTTTGATGTCGTTTGTGGTGTCATCCACCGCGACATTAGGTCTATGTATTCGGCGTCTCCGGGAATTTGGGCCACGTCGATTGTTGTGCCGTTTGGGTACCGCGCAGCTGCTACTGCTTGTGATGTTGTGAAATGGACGCCGATGCTGGGAGGCGCATCAAGTGCTTCCGCGGTAGTGTGTTTGTCGAGGGGTTCTTCGACAATGGGTATTTGGTGGTGGTATTGTACAGCTCGTGCACTAGCCAAAGGCACAAGCAGAAGAAGACCGAAGAGTTTCATTTTTGAAGTCGTGAGATGATGATTGTTACAAAGAAAGAAGAGAGAGCGTAAGGAACCGACTACAACAAAGAGCGGACCCGAGTATTCGTAGGATCAGGTGCAGAAAGAAAGGATGGCACTGCGTGAAAGAGCGACGGTGGTGAGTAAGGAGTAGTGGGTGGAAGAAGCGGCAACGACAACGGCGGTACGCTCGTCGTCCCCTCACTCCATCAACGGGGCGACTCCCGACGCCTTATAGGAGTCGTCCAAAGACATCCGATCGTACCGTCAAGGCAAAGAGGATCCGAGGTTCTGGTCAGGGACTTGTGGATCCGCCCACTGTTCCGTGGGCACTAGGGGTATACGAGCTAGCCCGGCGTGCGATCGGTCCAACCTTGTGGCTTCAAAGAACCCCTCTCCGGGTCCCATGCAGGACAAAAAACGCGTTCCTGGGTCTCGGTGACCGTGTCTTGGAACCCTCCGTTGGCACTCAACATCCCGGACAGCGAGCGAACGTGGGCGCGTAACATATGTTGTGAAGCTGTTGGAAGCGCGCTGTGGCCCAGGTGTCAGTCGGCAAGGGACCGAAAATAGAAACTCGCCCAGACCCGGCACGCTCGGCACTACTAGAAGCTTGTCCTACCCCTCTCTCGTACTTTTCGCTCCTAGCTATGGCAGAACAAGACTCGGGCGAGCCTTGGCACATGTATTGATTGCTCATATCTTCTCCGCAAACGGTTCGAGGTCGAGTCAACTACCTGCCGTCTCATCGCGTGCGCGATTGCGATACGAAGGGGCGCTAGAGGACCCTGACATGCGCGTGATACTCGCGTTATACGGAGCAAATACGCTGCATCAAGATTTCTGTATAACATTAGGTGCAGGTATCGTGAGTCCAGGTGCCTTTTTATGAGTAAAAGAGAGCCGCGTGGTAAGGCCCAACGTCTGCTCGAGCATGCGCATGAAAGGTTCTTTGCAACTATCGATAGGCGTCCTGCCGTTGCTGCCACCATTGTGTGGCGCATGTTAAAGCCGACAGCGGGACGCGTTCCGTTAGCTGCTCTCACGCGTCGTTCAAAGCAGAAGGTACAAAGGAGCTCATTCCGTCTGAGCCGTACTGACTATTGAAAGCGCGAAAAGGATGCGATCGGTAAACTTCATGCAATGTGCGGAGTACATACTTCAACATTGACACGCCTTGAGCATGTGTTCACGTTGGCCTAACACTACACAGAGCGCTCATCCCCAGAGGTTCGTGGCTGGAGAGCTCTCTCCTTCGAACCGGCCCAATGGCCTTAGAAATACACATCAGCAAAGCGCATGGATATTTCTTCCTCAAGATCCTCGCAAGCGAAGATACCCAATGAAAAAAAAAAGAGTCGCGCCAGCCAGAAGTAGTGCGAGATACTGGCGGCACCGTGGCCTCGAGGTATGAGCGAGCTCAGGGACCCGAGGTCGAACTACAAAAATAAGAGTAATGGATGAACCGCCGGTAGCGGTATCATAGCTATTACACTATGAAGAACAGATACTACACTTTGATCTAAGCCAGATTGGCAAAGAGAGCTGGTGAGCAGATGAGGGACGGGGGATGGGGGGGTTTATATAGATGATGAGGGTGGGGCCGTGCGGCGTTAGGCGGGCGCACGTGAGACTGCTGCCTGGCCAGGGGGTTGCACTGCTGCGCACGTGTTGCGCTGTTGCCTACACCTCGAAGATCACGGCTGAGCGTGTCGCTTGCTTGTTGCCGTCTTTGCTGGTACACGAAAAAGATGTGACCGTAAGTCTGGATGGAATCTCTCATATATATTCGATGGGAAAGCAACAGACATCGAAGCACCTCAAAGCTACCACGATCATTCCGCATCTCAAAGTAACATCGATGATCAGCCCGAACTACGGCCAGGCTCCACCCTGAGTCAAAGGCTCATCCTCTTCTTCGTTAGCAAAGGGCCTAGGCAGAGATCAATCTCTACCCAAGTAGTTCGATACGTCATTCACGGTCGGCATGCTTCCGCAGCTCTTCTCACTACCGTCATAATCATGTACACCCCGGCATGCCCCACTGTCTACACGTCCGATTTCCGCGTCTACATTCCCATCCTCTAACAGAGTGATCGGGTACTCGTCATGCTCATCTCCAATCTTGTGCCTGAGCTTAGAGCCCCCGCCGATAGTTGCAGGATGGCTCACTTCATCCGCGGGGCTGACTCTGTTGGAAGTCCACAGACGGGTAGGGGACATGAGTCTGAGGAGCGGGCGGAGAGTCATGATGCAGCAGTTGATGATGGCTACAGCAGGCTCGGCGACAGACCAGAAAGCCGCGTCGGTCATTGCGTAGGGCAGATTTTTAGTGTTGCCTGCGGTATGAAGGAGGTCGAAGATAACAACGATACGAAGGATGGAAATGGCCGTAACACTACGCTTTAGATCAGCTGACATATACCGAGCAAGCGACTCCCAGAGTTTCGTACAGTAGACCTATTGCAAAGATCGCCACCAAGCCAATCTTGGCACCACGAGTCATTTGTAGTTTTCGGATGAATGGTATGGGCAACAGGATGATAATCAGATCGGTTATCATGTTGAAGATGCCAGTCGCAACGAATGCCGTGCTGTGTTTGTGATCCGGGCAGTACTTTTTGGCCAAAAGAGGGTTCCAGTTCGCCTCGAGAGGCGTGCACAAAAGAAAAGTCGCAAGCATGCTACCGAGCCAGTACGCTACGACCAAGCCCATGCATATCCAAACCCAGATACGATGTTCCTTGAGTGTGAAAAAGCGTAAGTAGAACAAGAGGTAGGATAGCTTGACGCTGGAGACGGCGGCGTAGTACACAGCTTGGTAAGCTATGAGCAGCTTAGCTAGAAAGATGCTGTTGGCAATGGGTAGTTCTTTGGTTTGGTATCCCATCCCGTAATTCGCATCTGTGATGTGCATTGCGAGCATGCCTGCGTTGCTGGTTAGTGTCCCGGTCCAACGGTATGGTATCGCATCGTATGGGCGATGCGCCCTGACCGGCTTGTACGTACCGATAGTGAAGATCAGTGAAACCACTGCGGCAAAGTCATCCCACCTACAGCTTTGTCAGATCATGTGACCTTTGGCAGTCATTGTGAGTCTTCACATACCATATCTTAGTCCTGCAGATTCGTCTCGTGATGAACCGCAACACAACGAGTATGGTAGCAAAACCGACGAGGGAGATGTTCGCAGCCAAGTGCCTTGTGACGAGATCGGAGTGGAAGATGTTCGTTTTCGTCAATGGATCAAAGGGTAGCATGTTTGCAAATGGATATAGTGTTCTAGACAGCCTTGGAAAGATATGGGACGAGATACCGGCATTTGAGGACTGATTGTTGTTTGATATAGCAGAATCATCTCGCCCCCGCATGCGTTCAATAACCCGACAAAGTAGATGGTGTGGTTGGAAAACGCCATGGCATTGGCTCAAACCACTCGCAATTTGGCGAGCGTAATGGCATACTACCTTATACGGCCCCGAGGGGCTATGCGCAAGGCAGAGAATATGTTGCTGCGCAGTGCATGCGACACATCCCCCTGCTTATGCCAAACGACAAAATCTTCTACGAAGGTGGATGCACGTCAGGATTCAATAAGCAGGTGTATTTTGCTGAAAGACAAGAGACGAATCGCTATCGAGCTACGATAGCGATTGTCGGGTGTATATGCCTAGGTCGAGTCAGCTCGGGCTTGTTTAAGCTAGGGTAGAAAGCTTGTCCTGAGAGGACTGCATTTCGCATATTAGTTGACAGCCCCATTCAGCTGGCAATCTCATGTCAGCTTATAGTTTCAAGCTTGCCTACTCCATGCTTTCATGACGTCTTTCCCTGCGGAGCGGTCTGTTCAGCGAATTGTACGATCAATAATAATAGGACGGGCATTCTGCAGAGAGTTGTGTCACCAAAGGCCACCGGAATTGCACCAAGCACTGTTGTCGAAAAGGCTGTGAAGGGTGCGTTGCGGCATTGGTTGAAGACCATGCCCCGCAGTCGCGCACGCGAGCGGTACCGTAACATTCGTCGGATCTTGCGTGCAACCTTGAAGCTTCGTCAAAGAAAGTCGTGCGGGTCTTTATTGTGCGGATGTAATTACATTGTGTTGCCAGGTAGATGCAGCGGTACCTAGATGCGTGGAATGAAAAGTGAGCCGCTTGCTATCGCGTCGACTAAACACGAGAACATAGTAACTGGAGCACTTCTGCTTTGGCTAGAGACGTTTTGAGGCTGCAGTGGAGCGCGGGCGGGACCGGGTGCTGAGCCTGCAAAGCTTTCCGGCTCCGCGCCCTCACCTGGAGGGATACTAGCCGCGTCTTTCGCGCTCTGTCTGCTATTATCAAGCAAGCAGGTGGATATTTTGCGAGTTCGCAACAAGATAGGCGCTCGGCATACCGTTGAGGACCCGCATACCCCGGCCCGCAGCCTTAGTGCCCCCCAATCATCGCTTGCCGTCTGCCGAGGGAGCAGCCGCCCGTTGCGTGTTGAGACCACGATGAATCCAGATCAATAGTCCTTTCTCTTTTGAGAAGGTCGTCAGTCCTATGGCGGGACAGTCGCTTAGGCTTTCGCTTTGTACTGCGATGGTCGCACAGCGTCTCCCTTGTGCCACCATAAGCACACAGATTTACCAATCGACAGCATGCACATCGGTTGCGTTACATCTATTGATGCGCTTTCCACGAGAGCGCCCGACTTCATCATCATTGGCGGCGGTATCGGCGGGTTGGTGGTTGCCAATCGTCTGAGCGAGGATGCGGACAAGAGCGTGCTATTGATCGAAGCTGGCGCCAACCGACAAGGAGACCCCAAGATCGACATTGTTGGTATGCTATCAACGCTTTATGGAGATCCTAATTATGATTGGGACTTCATGTCTGAGCCTCAGGTCAGTCCAGCGGCACGATGTCACGTTGCCAATAGAGAAAACACCGAACTCAACTGACATTCGTGCTCAAAAGACACATGTTAATGGTCGGCAAATCCCGCATCCCCGAGGAAAGGTTCTTGGTGGATCTTCAGCCATCAACTTTGGCGCGATTGTGTATCCTTCAATGGCCAACTTTGAAGCCTGGAGGGCACTGGGCAATGAGGGTTGGGACGCTGCCGGGATCGCGCCATACCTTCGCAAGTTCAGTCGGTTCACCCCACCAAGTGCGGAAACGAAGGAGCTTCTCAACATAAACTACATCAACGAGGAGCTGCATGGAAAAGACGGCCCTGTTCCTGTAACGATTCCGGACGTATATGGCCCATTCCAGGCGTCGTGGGCCAAGACCCTGGATAAAATGGGTTGGTGCAACACAGATGATCCTATCGAAGGCGAGAAGCTAGGTACTTTTGCGTGCGGACTATCCTTCGATGCGAAGACGAAGACACGAGGCTATGCTGCGTCAGCCTACTACACTCCAGAGGTTGCGAAGAGATCGAATCTTGAAGTCTTGACAGAAGCGTTCGTCGAAAAGATACTGACGAAGGGCTCTGACAGCTCCGTAGAGGCAATCGGTGTAAGTGTGCGAACAAAAGATGGATTGAACCATGAGATCACAGCGAAGAAAGAGATCATTCTCTCCGCCGGAGCCATCCAGTCACCGCAAATCCTTGAGCTTTCCGGAATCGGCCAGAAGAAACTCCTTGAGAGGCATGGTATATCGGTAGTTCTCGATAGCCCTGGTGTGGGTGAGAACCTCCAAGACCACGCCATCTCTGCACCTTCTTTCGAGATCGCCGACGACCAATTCTCTGGCGACATCATGCGCGATCCGACTATCGTCCAGGCCGTGCTCCAACAATACATGACTACCAAGACCGGCCCACTCGTCGGTATCCCGATCAGCATGACCATGCTTCCACTCGTCGACTCCGATGGTCGCATCAGCCACGAAGAGATTGCGAAATTGACAAAGGAATACATCAGCGACAAGGGACTGCCACTCTGGAAGAAAAAGCAGTACGAGCAGCTCGAGAAGCAAATCCTAGGCCCGAAAGAAGCAGCAGGATACGCGATGATGCTGCCACTGCAGTTGAACATCTCTTCTGGTGCTACGCAGATGAACGCATTGCTTGCGCCAACTCACCCCAACAACTTCATCACAATAATGGCAGTCAACAATCATCCCTTCTCACGCGGCTTCTGCCACATCCGATCAGCAGATCCGAAGGAAAAGCCCATTCTAGACCCTCAGTATCTTTCTCATCCGCTGGATTTAGAGATCCTTGCCCGGTATACGCAATACATCGAGACCATCGTCAAGACCGAGCCGTTCGCTTCTCTTCTCAAGCCAAGTGGAAGGTTGCCGGAGGGCAAGGAAGCCAAGGATTTGAATACTGCGAAGGAGATCGTCAAGGAGCGATTGTTGAGCACTTTCCATCCCACGGGCACATGTGCCATGGTGCCTAGAGAATTAAATGGAGTCGTTGACAGCAGATTGAAGGTATACGGAACAAAGAACCTTAGGGTCGTCGACGCGTCGATCTTCCCGATGGAGACGTTGGGTAATATACAGGCGACGGTGTATGCGGTGGCGGAGAAGGCAGCCGACATCATCAAAGAGGACTGGAAGATGTGATAGCGATATGCGAGTACTTCCGTATGAACATCAGGAATCGAGATCAGCCTATTCTAGCACTAGCATCACATGCCCACGAAGCGCGAAAATAGCGTCTGAACATTGTTAGAGAAAGACATACAGGCGATTTTCGAATTGACTTGATCGACTTGATTGTTTTCAGCTCCGCCTACCACGTCGACCAACCACGCTCAACCGCTTGTTGATACGGCTCGAGCGTGATGTTTTGCGTGTCGCCGTTGGAAAGGTAATACATATCCTCGCCCGCATGCTGGTGGCCAACACCATATTCTTCACCCGTTTGAAGTGCTCGTAGATCGACTCGATTTGGCGGAAGTACACCATCAACCGCACATTCTTCCATTACTTCCTCGGCCAATACATGAAGCTGTTCTTCAGGGAGAGGATCGAAGCTTATACCGCGTGCAGGCTGCTTGTCCGTGCTCCAGTTGGCTCCTTGGTAGCTGTAGAGACGCCCTTGTAGCCAATCGCAGTTTTCGTATTGTATGTAACTCGGTACGAAGCCAGGTAGACTACCGCTGGGAATGATGGATGTCTCAAAGTGTATGATCTGGCTCGTATAGTCGCCTCGGTGGCGTTTCTCTTCGAGATAATGGGCGATGCAGGGTTTGTCGCATTCTTCAACCGTTGCACCAGGCATAGGCAGGAAATGTAACTCCAGACGGTAGGGACATCCATAGGCAAAGTACGGGGTGTCTCGAATGAGAGCTTCGAGAAGTTCGACCGGCTGGACATTGCCTGGATTGACGTCTTGATGGGTGAAATAGACGTGGAAACTGTAGAGCGGTGGAAGTGGACATGTTTGTCTGCCTCTGAACACCATGAGCGCCTCTTTGCCAGCATGGTCGGTAAATGGAAGAACATGTATCTTAACGCGATATATGCGACCCATTTTCCCCAGCCCTCCGCTCATGGTCGCGCTGTCTCTCTTTAGGATCGAGCGGGTTGTTGCAGGCTGAGGAGACTGATTCACGGACGGGATGGGAAGGCGCGTTGGTGCCTAGTCGCGGAGACGCCAGCGCGCGTGCAGGACCAAGGCTAGCCGGATCCATCAGCCAAGCTGGCTGAAGGCATCCCAAACTATGTCTGATCGCGTCACGATTGTACGTGAGTGTGTTCGAGTGTGATGTGCGCGACCTTCCGCACTTTTCCAGCAGTTACGCGGTTTGCCTGTGGAGAGGACGCTTCTTGTTGGGCGGCTTTCGTCGTGATTCCGCACGTACACGGAAGGGACTGCAGATACTGTATCGAGACATGGCTGATAGTGCTCTGTTTGAACTGCGCGGGGCCAGCGGGACGGTAGGGAAATGGACGATGTAAACGATGAGGAACAGTACCCGGTTTCTGGTGTCGTGATGGCAGCGACGCGTCGATGCGAGTCGAGCCGATGACGTGTTAGGTCCGTGCTTGCGGGGACGCGCCGTGGAACACCAAACAGGCAGCATCACGTGTTGCTGGAGCCTTGGAAGGGGTCTCGACTTTTGGTTCGCAGCGAAAACTCGAATATTTGACCAACGTATATAAGGTAGCAGTGGGGGGGGGGGGGGGGGGGGGGGGGGGGGGGGGGGGGGGGGGGGGGGGGGGGGGGGGGGGGGGGG